TGAACACCTCCCCCAGCATCAAAATACATCAAGAAGCTAGTTGCCACGGGGTGACAGTCAAGGCTCTGCCCAGAGGTCAGGAGGAAAGGAGGAGTCTTTGCATCAAAATCCTTCTGCTCATGTGCAAGAGTCAAAGGAAAGTCATGTAAATGAATATGAAGTCACAGGAGTGAATTAGAAGGAAGATTGCAAGTGGAAGGAACTTGAGGTAAAGCTTGTTTATTTTAGCCATATTAACTTTAAGCAAAAACAGTCAGATACATTAGAGGCACTGAAATAAGGGCGTGTATAAAACACGTCACAGGTAAAAGCAAGATCAAAAAAGCCACTTGACAAGAGGACCTGAAGGTAAAAATAAAAGCCCAAGGACAAATCAGTAAGAAACTCCCCTAAAATAAAGGGGAGAGGATCTCATGAAGAAAAGCTATCAAAAGAAATTCAGGAAGTGTCAGTGCTAGAAAGTCTTGAAAATACACAATTTGGAGCACAACAGGATGATCTGTTTAAAACTTTCAGGAGTCCTATTTGGAGTAGCTTAAACAAGTTAGTTTTTCAGACGGATATTTGGACAAGCAGCTGCAGGTCACATCTTAAGAGATTCTCTAGTTGTAAAGAAAAGAAGTCTTATGTCACAGCTCTGCACAAATCCCTTCAGGAAACTCACACTGAAGCTTTCACAATATCCAAATATCAAGCATGCTTAAAAACCATAAATACCACAAAATAAATTAGAAATAGGAAAAAAAATTGTTCTTCTCAGGATTCTTTCTACAGTCATCAGACATTCATTTCACAGTAAACACGGATAACACCAAGCCATAAACCAAATATCTGATTCTACTAGTTCTTTTGTATGATAAGCAAGGATTACAGAAGTTATCAGTTTATCACATGCTTATTTTCATATTATCTTCCTTGTGTGAGATTCATTATCTGAATCTGGATAAAAATCCCTCTAAATCAGATTCACATTTAATCTGCCACAAGCTGAAAAACATGAGTTTCTTAGGTTACAAGGCAGGAATTGATTAGAACCTGTTCAGTTTCCAAGAGGCTCAAGACCACATTAATATAATGCACTTTTAGCAGCAGAACAGGAAATACTGCAATGTAAAGCTCTATCCTAGCAGTGGTATTTCATTCAGGTGTAGCTCTATCCTAAAACACTTACCCTACATTCTACTAGTTCACTATGGCAAATTCTAGGGTACCAAAATTGAGAGCTAGTGCTCAAAGGAGATTAGCAATATGAGATGAAGGACTCAATATAGGGCTGAAATAGCTAACAGTTGGCTGACTTCATGTACAAACCAAAGGCATTTGCTGGTCCATTTAAATTGAAATTATATTGGTGAGCTGTTTATATTAACCTTAATGTTTCAAAGTAATATTTTTCAGTGGTTTTGAAGGCCTGATATTCGTTGCCTATCCTGTTTGCTTAAAATGGAAAGCAAGTACCTTTACTATTATACCCTTTCTCATTTAGCAGATATTAAATTGGTATCTATTTTTAGTAGTTTATGTCTCTGTTTCAGTTATCCATTTCCAATTAGTTGGCAAAGTTGTTGCTTTGAGATACAGAGTAATACAGAGATACAGAGTACCTCAGCCTCTGTAAAGCGAGGCTAAGGTAAATAACGTTCACAAGTTGCAGGAGTTTGATTTCCATTTTTATAAAATAAATCAGTAAAAAATTTCATCAGTCAACCTTTCAGTCTAACCAAATCACATTTATCATTAGCATTTATCATAAGCATTTATCAAGTGCTTATTAAGTTATAGCAAGAAAGGACAAAGTTTTTCTTAAAATTACATAGTGATATTTTTTGATAGGCAAGGCAATATGCAAGTTTTAACAACTACTCTTTTTTAGGTGTATGCTTTTGTCTCTCAATCATTGTCCTGTCTGAGACAGAAATTTAATGGTAGACTCACCAAAACATTACACAAGAAATGAAGACATGTAATAAACCACATTTAAACTTTGCTGCCTTTTGAGAATTAGAATTTGCATAGAAATATGACTGAAGCCACAATGAAGTGTAATTAAGCAGTCAGCAATAATGATTTAATCTTCATACACATCCCAGTCATAATGTCGAGATGCATGTTGAGATAAGGCAAACATTATCCTCATTTTTAGAAGGAGGGAAGACTAAGGCAGAAAGTATAATTTGTCAAACATTTGACACCAGCAAGGGCAGTGCTGAGTGAATGATGTCACCTGCCCATGAGTGCCCAAAAACCACATAAACAAAAATACATAGCAGTTATGCCATCAGTGTCACTGTATGTTCTACGGTGACATCTTTACTTTCACTAGAGGTATATTATTTTGGCCCACAGTTTAGGATTAATATAAGTATGACAGAACTTATTATCACTAGAAGACATGACACTCCCAAATCTTGAATCTTGCCATCCCATTCTAAACTTCCTCTTTAAATATAGAATACTCTGTTTCCCTAAAGTGCTATAAACCAATAGATTACAAGGCATAAGATAAGAAATAAGAGTAGCTGCCTTGCATAAACCCGTCATCTGCAAGATGACGCCTTGTGTTAATTTAGTAAGCTTGTACTGGATGAGAATAAACTTATGCTCTCATACTTTTCTAGTGGATCAGACTGGATTTCAGTCTTACGAATTCTCTGAGGAAATACAAACATCCTATCCTCCCTGGGCAACTAAAACATTGCCCATGCATGGGATCATTAAGTGTTTTTAATGCTGTTTATTAAAACTCAGAAAGATTATTTTTCTATTTGTCTGGAGGTTAACTACAGAAAGAGACCTTTGTAGCTGAACTTAAAACCAACTGTGATCCAAGTCAGACTGCTTTTGTTAGGTTTCCTTCGCATACACGCTTGCCCTGTGTTTCTCTGTTGACATGGCACTCCTCCCCACTACTTATCCTAGCGCTCTAATGCTGCTCCCCCAACCACTATCACAGGAAAGTTCAAAAAGGTAGCTGCAAAACAGCACAATGTTAAGAGAGAACAAACCTTCCTGATTCCCTGTAGGAGCTCATGCCAGTGTAATAAAGACCTGGTGAACAAGCACCTGCAGGTGCTCCAGCAGGAGCAGCAGCGTAAGCAGTACATTTAAAAAGAGAGGCACTGCCTAAGGTAAACTGTGGTCCTTCATAGTTAGCAATAACTGAAAACGTGCAAGACAACGCAATTACGAGATGAAGGAACGTGTTACATTTGTTGCCTCTACAGTGACAAAGAGATCAAGGCTTAAAGCATGTTTGATGTGGATTTAAAGAAGAAGAAAAAAACAACAACAGCGCATGGGGGCTAATTCGGCCCTACCCCAGACATTTCCCACAAGTTTCTCAGCACATCCACCTCTTCCAAACTCGTAAACGAGACACAGGGCACCACTGGTGCGGCGGCGGCGACGGGGGCCACGCGGGGCTCCGG